TTCTTGATCGTCAGCTTTCTTCTGGTGTTGGACCATCATGTCCTTCAGCTCAGCTAGGGTTGCTGAGATTGCTGGTTCGGTCTGAGGATCTTGCAAGTTTAGAGGAATCGGGTTACCTCCCAATGGTGGTATCTGACAATCATCTTCGGTCATCGTCTTCTTCGGTAATTGAGTTTCGCGTTCTTGGAGTAAGAGAATTCTAAAGTATTCTCCACAGACGGCGCCAAACTGTGGAAGTCGAAACTAATACAATCGAGATTTGTCTAGGGTTTTATTTTAGGGATACGATATGTAAGAATTCTCAAAGAACAACAGAAACGATTGTGACCAAAGATGATGTTCTTGATATTATTGATGAAAAGAGTAGTCTTGATCGTATAAAGAACTAGATCGTAAAAAGAAAAGTGTTTGTATGCTTTCGATTGTCAGAGCTTTTAGTAGTCTGAAGTCTATAGCGTTTTTGCTTGTGTCCTTTTCGTGAAGACCTTGAGTTGCTTTATATAGGGGTGGTAAACCGCCTCTCTAGCGATATTCCCAGAAGATTTCCATTTATCTTGAAGTCGGCTTAGAATATCGCGGATTAGGACACTTTCCTTATTCTTCAGAGCTTCTGGAAGATTTCCAGATTTGTGTTGATCTTCGAAGATTCTTTTCTATCATTTCCGAGTACATCGGAAATGATCTTTCTTTTTCGGAAAAGGCTGCTATGATACTTCGGAGGTAGTTATTCGCTAAGTATTTGCCTCAGGTAATCAAAGACTATGAGGCAACAGCTAGGAGACTGCCTCGGGGCAACCGCTTGAAGACTTCCTCGGGGTACTGCTTGAAGACTGCCTCGGGGTATTGCTTGGTTCGGCTCGAGAATTGGCTGGTGGTGTGAGATACTCCGAGCCGAAGCGCTAGAGGGGTACCCGAGCTGTCTATCAGGGTACCCTGAGGTGACTAGAGAAGTGCCCCGAGCTGTCTGTCAGGGTACCCCGAGGTGACCAGGGAAGTGTCCCGAGCTGTCTGTCAAGGTATCCCGAGGTGACCAGGGAAGTCCCCCGAGCTGTCGCAGTTTGGCTCGGTCTTGAAAGATGGTTGAAAACTGACCTCAATAACATGGCGGAGCTAGAGTGGTTGATGTGATATGCCAAGGAGCCTTGGTGACTTGGTGTGGAGATAAAAAAAGAAAGTCGTTGAGAAGATTTGGTGAATATTGTTCTCAACAAATAAGGACAGGGATAAGCTTGAAGATCAAGAAAGATCATGCTCATTCATTCTCGGAGATCCTAGAGATTAGGGTTTTGGAGAATACTATAAATATTCTAGGAGTTGGCCATGAGCCGCTTAAGCACTCTAGAATATTGATATAAGTGTGTTATCTTCAAAACCTAGCAAAAGCTTAGAAGGTGAATGTTTGTAATTCTCTATGTCTTCACGGGTGAGTGATAAGAAATAGACTTAGATTTGTTCTTAGTCGGGTTTGATTATTCGGGTAGAATAGATCAAGTAGCTACCGAGATAGTAGAATCCTTGTAAAAAATTTATTATCAATAAGAATAAATAGAAAAGCGTTGGCTTGGTGCGTTCCAAGCGAAATCACTGTGTTGTGTACCCTATATACCTTTCAGGTCTATCCATTCATTAACCTTGCTAATATTCCAATTTGACTTAGTGTTATTTAGGAGATCATTTACCATCATCGGGCCCACTACTTCTGATCGATTTCTCGGAGTCCTTGGAGGATGAATTGGCAACCATGGATCCAACCAAACGTTTGTGATAGATCCATCTCCTATACAAAATCTGAGGCTTTGCTTAAGTAAATCCCTTCCTTGCAGAATCGATTTCCAATGATAAGATGCTTTCTTGCCTTGCACAGCATTCAACACGTTTGTCTCAGGAAAATATCTTCCTTTGAGTACTCTTGCCATAAAGCAACTTAGATGTTGTAATATTCTCCAAATCTGTTTTCCAAGTAGTGCAAGGTTGAATTGTTCTAGTTCTCTGAATCTAGAGCTGTCAAAATGGACGGGCCGTCCATGGGCTATCCATGTCCAACACCTAATGGACCGGTCATGGACAAGCTCATTTTAACATGGGCGTCAATGGGCATGGTTTTTAATGGACATGGTCGTTAATGGACTGTGCGTCATTGACATGGGCGGCCCAATACACTCAAAATGTTAGGACAAATCAATTTGGAGAAAAATCAAAACTCATTTAGTCTTCGCATATGTCTTGTCTCCATGGCTTCAACACATCAATCTCATCAACTTCTTTCATTCAGGTGAGAACTTTTGCGATTTAGGTTTTTTTTCAAAACTTGTTCTAATGGTGACCAATGGACAGCCCATTTGGTCATGGGCATTAATGGGCATGGTCGTTAATGGACATGATCGTTAATGGACATGGTCACTATTTGTCCATAACTAAAATGTTCAATATTGGACCGGGCTAATGGACTTGGACAGTCCATTTTGACAGCTCTATCTTAATCCAGCCCTCTTTTTTTAGGGAGACAATCTGTTCCAAGCGAACCAATGTATGCCACGTTTTTCGTCTCCTGAACTCCATCAGAATCTTGCCAATATCCCATCTATTTCAGTCGTATTACATAATGGGTCTGATTAGTAACCAAAAGCTATACAAGTTTTTTAGCTGTTAGCTGGAGCTGTAAGCTTTATCGGAATAGTGTAAAACTGTAATAAAGAGTTGTACAAAAAAGCTGTACAAAAAAGCTGAGAGTAAAACTGTTAGTAACGCTTTTGATAAAGTTTTTGTGATTGGTAACTATCAAAGCTGTACACGCTGTACCGCTTTGATAATGGATTACCATTCAAAGCCAATAAAAAAGATTTAGATAAAAAATATATATATATACTCTAATCAATAATATATTGATTTATCTACCTTTAATTGTTTCTTTAAATTAAAGAAATATACTCATCTTTTTAGGTTTTAATATTATGAAATTAGTTTTTTTTTTTTTTTGGGTTATCCTCTACCACTCAAATTTAAGTTATACAATTTCTATAGTAAAAAATTTTACTAATGAAAATTTTCTAATTAATTTTTTTAAAAATGTAAATATCAAATTGAGATCGATTTTATTATTGGACTTGGCCTAGCTTCATACAATATTACCTCCTACACCATCGTGGGTTCTGTTAGTGCGGATGAGGTAAGATAAATTGCCGAAAGTAAACGAGACAAGAAATTTGTTAACGAGGTTCGGTTTTTCCTACTCCCCAGGACCACGTCCAGATTTCGATTTCACTATAACAAGAAACCAAATTACAACCAATTCGCAAACGCGTAAAACAAACCCAACCCTCTTGATTTACCGCTCCGTTCTAGTAACATGAAATCTTAAGGATAAATCTCTACCCTTAACTAAACTCTCCTGAGCCTAGATTTAATCAGGATAACCTAACCCTGAGCTAAACTCCCCCTGAGGCTAGACTTCAATTCTCCAAGTCTCTGGAACAACCACCACACACGAATCGTCACGCCAACGAACCCAACGATCACCAAGATTATATTCTCCAATATGAACCATCAACACCAACACACAAATAAGCTTGATCACACAAGCACTTAACCCGCGAAACTACGTTGCACACGATCACACACACAATCTCTCACATCGAATCTCTTTGGGATTTTTACTCTTGCCAATCCACATTCTCATAAGGTCACGTCCCCCTTATATAACAAACAGAAACTTGCGCCTCAAGTTCTTCTAATCACACATAAGAGAAAGTTTTCAAATCCCATAAGGAAATGGTTTTCCTTTTTGCCAATTTCCTTTTCTCTTCAAGCAAATTTCCCTTTACTTACATGATTCCTTTTGTCTTCAAACAAAGATAATTTTCTTTTTCCTGACTTCACAAACGCTCCAACACCCAAGTACCCGAGCTCCTCATCAGCAGTTATGCATCTCATCTTCCTGAATCACATCTTGTACTACTTTCTGTACTACTTCAACGACTAGTACAGAACACCAAAATAACTGCATCTTCAGGTTCGTCCGCCACATCATTTGGTAAAATGCAATTTCGATGCTAGTTACAACATGGACTCTTTAAATGTAACAGGCGGTTGGCTAATTCGGGATCATTCCGGCTTCACAAAAAGTTTGGCATCAGCTTCACTATCACAGGCTGCTTCACCGTTGGAAGCAGAAACTCGTAGTTTATTGGCTGCTTCACAGCATACTTGGGAAAGAGGGTTTTCGGATGTTATTTTTGAGGGAGACTGTGAGGTTCTTATCAATTACATTAACAAGTCTTGAAAGTACTGGCTTATCTTTGCAGTCTGGTTCAGAAGGGAACAACCCTTTTATCCGTGAGAATGTAATGCAAGATGGGTACAATTGGCGTATATATGGGCAGAAACTTGTTAAAGGAAATGAACTGACACGGAGCTACTACAAGTGCACACAGCCAAACTGATGCTAGATCTTTGGAGCAAATAATAGGTAGACCGAGCTGCCAATCAGGACATGCCGGGAACACAATCAGAACACAAAAGCCTTGCTTTTCAGGAGAATGTGGCGAGAACAGAGCCTGTACAAAGCTAAACATTCCATTGCAGGTTTAAGGCTGATTAATATAAATTAGTACAAGGCAGGCAAAATAGTTAGTTGGTCAGGCCGCACCAATTTAGGTAGTATTTAATGTAATAGTGTATTTACCACATTATCATATAGCCACCTACATTAGGTGGGTTTTGAATAAGAGAAGAACTTGTAAGAAAATTGTTGATGGATCTCTGTAGTGTATCGATAGCGATAGCTTCTATACTGTATATGACTTGGTCCAAGTATGTCTTTCCATTACATACATTCATGGAGACATTTGTTCTTTCACTTCCATGAACAGAATGAGACCAATGTTATCTGGTAGCACTGGGTGAGGACAAAGTACTCTGAACAAAACTGGAATGAGTCTATTGCTGCGATAACATGTTGTGAAGTATTCTAGATCGAGCAATAGTACCAGATTGTTGCACAGTAGAAAACAGGTTGTTGTATCTCAGATTGAAGAGTAATGGTAGAACAGTTTCCCAATGAAGCATAGTACATGGATACTCATTTGGAAAGAAAACATTACATAGAGAAAATGTATAAATGCAAAATCATAGTTATTCATCTTGTTGTATCTCGTTTTGGCTGTCTCATTGGAATCAGGGGTTATACTCATAGTGGCAAGAACCATGACCTGTGACAATCATATCTGGATCAGATACAGATGGTTCACTATCTGCTAAGATTCAACGGAGAGAGAGAGAGAGACAGAGAGAGAAAGCTTACTGGGGTCAAGCTCAGTGATCATGGCAGCTCCTTTGAAGTAACAAGAACCACCTTTGTGCTTATAAGTTTGGTAATAACTGTTAAAAGCAAAGGAGGCATGATCCCTCATTGTGTTGGGCAAGAAGCAAGGCTGGTTTTCCTGCTGCATTTTGCTGCAGTCTGCTCCACCTTTCCCGCAAGCCCAGTCTAAGGCTGCCTGCAACTCATCGTCTGGCGTTTGTTCATCCGCTATGCACCATTGTTCCGACTCTGCCTCTGTTTATACATACACGCACATACATCTGCATAAGGCCATAAAAGACATATAATTGTGAACATTGCAGTGATATTCTTACCTGACCATTGAGGAATAGTAATTGCTATGATAAGCAAAGGAAGAAGTATCCTTATCAAGAAAGTTGACATGTTTCCCAAGAAGGCAATGAGTGGTGCAGAAAGATCCAGATCTAATCTAGTTAGGAAGTTTAAGAGCTAAGGAAATGAGTGCAACTTGACACCCTTTATACTAGTTAGAAAGAATCAGTAGTCCAAAAGTTCAAGATCTATGACTAGGGAATCTTGGTTTGCTTCAGATGCAATCATGTGCTAGATCTGCAATTCACTGGTTTTGAGGAAGATTTTGTTCTGCTTCTGGAAGCTTTTCAGAACAGTCATATATACGCTTCCTATCATGTAATCAAGAGCCATTACTATTACTACACAACATACAAGCTGTTTTACAGTTCAGAGGAGAGAATTTGGGTTTATATATATGAATGAATATAATGGAGCTATACACTAGAAATCTACTATACACACATGCAGAGATCAAAGACGACAAACTGTCTATACAAAGAGAAAGATTGCGGTTTTCGCAGTCTTTTTTCTCATTCAACCAGACCAGGTCTTAAAGCGAACGAGACCTGTGAAGAACAATGGATAATGGACTGGTTCTTTCCTTGATCTCAAGTTGAATTGCAGGTCATGGATGTTCATGATATACTACCCGACATCAAAAAGCTCTCGGGTTGATATCTATAATCCTACAAGGGCAGTGGCGTTTTTAGACTTTCTTTTAACAGGGTTCAAAGAATCTTGCTACTGCTGTGTAAAGCACTTCCTCTTCAAACGGTTTTGATACATAACCATCCATGCCACATTTCATGCATTCTTCGTGGGTAGCCTGAATAACATCAGCTGTCATTGCTAATATCGGGACATGCCAACTACTAAATTTACAGAACATTTCAGCAGAAACTTCTCCAGAAGCTATTTTCTTATTGATTTCCCTCTCCAGATCACGGACTCTCCTCGTTGCTTCAAATCTGCGCAAAAATCATAAAATTACCAGGGACCACATCCAAGAAATGAACAAGCTGAAGGGATAAGATTGAAAAATAGTTAGTTACCCATCCATTTCAGGCATCTGGAGATCCATAAAGCAAGCATCGAAGTTGTGAGGCGGCTTAAGCATTGCCAATGCAGCCTTGCCACTCTCAACGCATGTAACAATAGCTCCATATTTCTTAAGTGCACCTTCGGCAACTCGTCTGTTCACCAGATTATCGTCCACAACCAGAATCTGTTTTTCTCGGAGTAAGTGTCCAAGATTTCTTCGCTTTCTGTTCGGTTGCCTCTTCTTGCCATTAACAAGGGTTTCTTGCAAGCAACATATTAAGACACTCATCCGAAGAGGCTTTATTACTACCTCATCGATGAGGCCAGACGACTTCATCTCACTGCGCTCAGTAAGAGTTGCAGAAGTTGCCAAAAGAATAATCTTTGGGACTCTTGTAAAGGTTACTTTGCTACGGGTAAACAACTCGTCTAGTACTGAAAAGTCTTTCTTGTTCCAGGCGTCTTTGTCGATTAGAACCATAGCCAAATTTTCTAATTTGCTGCAAAGATTCCAGAAAAAAAAAAAATAGAACGCTTTCAGTGAACTAACTATATAATCTCTAGAACTGCTACTCTATCAAACCTTGGAATGCAAGGACAGTAAAAGTAATACAGTTGGAAGAGTAAAGAAAAACCGACACTAATGTATGTAAAGTACCTGACAGAGGTGCATGCCATTCTAAGACTTGAAACAATGTCTGCAGATATTCCCAGTCTCTGAAGATGGTAACTGGTCACCTCTGCTCTAATGTTTCTGTTATCAATAACTAATGCTCTCAATCCTTTAAACTCCTGAATAGCTAGATCGAATCGTTCCAACTTAGTAATCGACGTATTTGTTTGTGCTTTCCCGAAAACTACAGTAAATGAAAAAGTACTGCCTATCCCGGGCTCACTCACAAACCCCATCTCTCCTTGCATGAGTTCAACCAAACGCTTGCTTATGCTCAAACCTATGCCGGTTCCACCATAAGTCCGCGATGTGGAACTGTCGGCTTGCATAAAAGGCGTGAATATTCGGCCTTGTGCATCCACAGGTATACCCACTCCTGTATCCTCCACTGTAACTAGCAATTTGATTTTATCAGAATTATGATTCTCAGTGCTGTAACATGTCTTGAAATTCTTCCAGCTTCCCCATGCATTTACGGCAGGAAACCCGCTAACTGTCTCACCGGACTCGCTGCATCCTAAAGCTAGTCTCTGTTTTAGCACTGCATCTTCAATATTAAGAGGCTCCCTTACCTCAGCTGCTAGGTGCACTGAGATAAATATGTGTCCCCTTTCTTGTGTGAACTGTTATTAAGGAAAGAACAAATGAGTACTGTAATAGTAGATATTAGAGAAGCATCTTGTTTAGTAAGAAGTAAACAGTAAATTACTTTGATTGAGTTTCCAACAAGGTTTGTAATTATCTGCCGGAACCGACTCGGATCACCAACTACAACATCAGGAACTTGACTAGAAACATAAACGGCCAACTGTAACAAGAAACCGACATTTCATTAGATATGAAATTTTGTTTGTCATAGGAAAACAGAAGCGGAAGGCCATGCAGTTTATATATTATACCTCAATTCCTTTTTCATTTGCTTTGCCAGAGAGGAGAGATGAAACATTATCCAGAATAAAGCGCATATCAAAAGGCACATTTTCAAGCTCGAGCCTTCCTGATTCAATCTTTGCCTGATCAAGAACCTCATTTATTAGGGATGTAAGATCCTTCCCACTGCCATGAGCAGTTTGTGCATAGTCCATCTGCTTCGCATCAAGATCGGTGTCCATCAGCATTTTCAGCATTCCTGTAACAACATGCTTAAACTTTTCAGCTGATTTACCAGAAAACATGCAATATTGAGAAAGGATCAGAAGAAAAAGTACCTAAAACTCCATTCATCGGAGTCCGTATCTCATGAGAAACAGTTGCTAGGAACTGCAAAATAAGAAGCAATTCAGTGCTTAAAAAAAGGAAGCATTTCAGTAACAGAACAACTCTTGTTAACAAAACAAAGAAGGTTTCATCAAGCTTTTGAGACTATATGATTCACAAAATTTACCTGTGACTTTGCAACGTCAGCGGCCTCAGCACGAGCTTTGAGTTCCCTCATCTTCTGACAGTCCTCTTCAACTGTGGCAATTCGATTGATGGCTTCATTGAAAATATAACCAACAAGAAAAGTAATAACCAGAACTAAGATCGACGTTGTTATCGCGGTCCAAGGAATGGGAAGTTTATGCTTAAACCTGTATAAAATAATAACATTTTCATATTTCAGAAGAGTGAGGAGTGAAACGTTTCTTACAAAAATACCATTAGAGTTGGAGGTAACCTGCAGTGCATCTCATGATTCCTTGATGGATCACCAAAATCAAGGCTACTTATGTGCTGCTCACTTATATCCCCAATTTCTGAGCCATACATTTTTATTAGACCTGAGGTGTTAGTTGTGTCGTAAACATCCACAGCAATCGTCTGTTTGCTGGCAAGTTGGTGAAGAAGTTTCTCCACCAGCGATGGCATATCATATGATGCACCAAGGTACCTGTTTTAGGAGGTGTGCCTTATTAAGATTTTCTTGTACAGAGAACATACTACAAAATAAAAGTATCATTCTTTGATACATAGATTCAATATTCATTCCTAGAATCATAGTAATCAGCACAACCATTTATTTTAAAAGTAAAAGCAGTACCCAATAGTTGCTCCAACACGCTGTTCTTCTGTAGCATCGGGCGGTAGGCTCGTGTCATACACAGCAAAGGTCAACACGACGCCAAGATTATTTGACTTAAGAAGCTTAAATGGAGATGTCAATACTCCTTTTCCTGATGCCCTTGCCCGCAAGATGTTTTCACGGTCTTCCTGCAAAATATTCAGACTTTTGAATTCTCTTTTAGCTCACTGTTTTGGCAAAAGGCAAAAAGAAAGTTTAAAACGTTACTGACTTCTCCAGACATCATGTCAACCGATACAATATGGGAAACTGTTTCTTGAGCAAATATAACTGGCGCGTATTCGGCTTGAATAGGTGCTGGATCAAAATTTTCAGGAACACAATCTTGGACGACTGTCTGGTCCTCAGTTTCCATTTTCTTTATTGTCCATCCATGCTCCTTTTCAAATTTCTCTCTTTCTGAGTGTGGGACTTTCAAAGCATACGCTACACCACTAGTAAGAGGCCTCTCAAAGTTTGTTCTCTCAGTATATTCTTCAAATGTTTTCTGTAAAATGTAACAGAAGTTGATGATTTAAACATAAACTTGAGATACAAAATGTATTAGCAGAAAGAAAAAAAAATCACCTGATCAATGGCAGATGGGGTTTTCCCATGATGAAATGTAGATACAAGAATAGACAAGGCATGAACATGGTTCAAGCTAACATTGAACTGATCTTGTAACACGCGGGCTCGTTCATCACACATGTTAGCTAAAGTCTCCCTCCTTTTCATTATTATCTCCTCATTAGTGTTCCAAAACCACCAAACGGAGAAGGAAACTCCTCCTAAAATACCAAGGAGAAGGATGTTCTTCCTCCATTTTCCAGCCCCTTTAGAAGAAGTCTGAGCACGTTGTTGCTGCTTCTTTTGAGCTAAAGGCTCTTGCAGATGTACTTTTTCTTTCCTCTTAGCTGGTGCTTTAGAATGAAATACATAAATCTTATGGCACACTAATACACCAAGGATTAGACACCACCACCATGCATTTCTTAAACAAGTTGACAAACTCTGCTCCAGCTCTTCCTCAAGGTTTTCTGATTTTTCCGGTTGTTGTAAACTCTACCCATAACCAAAACACATTCAAAATAAACTTTTGTGAGAACTAGACACCAAATTTGAAGGCATTTCTTCACATGTGCTCGAATCGAATGTTATCTTACCGCTTCAAGATTATCACATATACAAGAAGTTGATGAGATAGAATGTGCTAAGCCTGATAGATTAAGATTCCAGGGAATCCATCTGGTCTCCTGTTTCTCCGACCGCATATTCAGGGAACATGTAATACCATAATTTTCCCACATTCCAGGTCTTGATTCCTTACTACATTCAAAGGATAATACCTGCCAACAGATGCAGAGAATGGTAATTGATGGTAAAGTGTTACACTTTAAGGCAAATCTGATGCGTACACAAAAGCTCAAAAGCAAAGTCAATTCAGGTTATTACCTGATCTGAATCAGAGAACAAAGAGACCAAATCATGAATCTCACTTCT